TGTGTCGAGAAAATCTTTGGGCCAAGAGCCTTTGTGAAGATGTCGGCCACCATGTTGCTGGTTCCCACATGCGAGAGTGAGATATCGCCCCGATTCACCATGTCCCGAACAAAGTGCTCGCGCAAGCGTATGTGTCGAGTGCCGGAGACGCGGGACAGGGTCGTGGGCAACTGGCGGCAGCGGCTTCATTGTCAGTAAAAATGTGAGCCGGTGCAACAGTTGGACATGGAGCTCCTCGAGCAGCTGACTGAGGTAGATCCCTTCCTTGCCAGCATGCGAGAGGGCGAGGTATTCAGCGTCGGTGGTAGAATCGGCAACTCGAGATTGACGCTTGGACGACCAAGACACGGCGGATCCGGCAATGTAGAAGACGTAGCCCATAGTGGACACCGACGTATCGACGCAGGCCCCCCAGTTCGCGTCGGAGTAGCCAACCACGCCCGTGATGCGTGTCTCGCCGCAAGCATAACCAGTTCGTCGCGATATGTGGCCCGGAGATAGCGGAGGATGTGCTTGACCGCGATCCAGTGACGACGTCCAGGGTTGTTGGCGAAGCGGGCCAGTAGGACACGGCGAAGGCGATGTCGGGGCGGGTGCCGAGCGAAATGTAGAGGAGCGAGCCGATAGCCTGCAGATACCATGACCTGATCCGTTCGGTGCCTTGACCCGGGATGGCGGTGAGCGAAAGGCCGGGGGTCATCGGGACTGTAGTGCCCGAGTCGTGGTGTCGAAGTGGAACCGAGCAAGCACGTCCATGATGTACCTGTTGAACTTTGCTCCATCTCACTTCTAGGACAATATGCGCTCACTGAAGTAGAGGTGCCTCGCCTTTTGGTGCAGTGGTATATTGTTCCTTCATAGGTTATGAGCCCAGAGCAACCAGCAGGTCATGAGTTCAATCCCCCCTGGGGTCAGGCAATTTTGCGCGCATACACTCAGCGTCCCGGCCCCCGCACTTGCCCAGCAGCGTGCCAAGCACCCTGGCGCATCGACAGTGCTCACAGTGCCCAAGCTGCACTTGCCCAAGCGACCTGATCAACATGCCCAGTTGCCTCACAAGCCGCACCCACTGCCACAAGCTCTTCAGCTTCGCGCACAGGGGGGTGTTGAACTTCGCTCCATCTCACTTCTAGGACAATATGCGCTCACTGAAGTAGAGGTGCCTCGCCTTTTGGTGCAGTGGTATATTGTTCCTTCATAGGTTATGAGCCCAGAGCAACCAGCAGGTCATGAGTTCAATCCCCCCTGGGTCAGGCAATTTTGCGCGCATACACTCAGCGTCCCGGCCCCCGCACTTGCCCAGCGGCGTGCCAAGCACCCTGGCGCATCGACAGTGCTCACAGTGCCCAAGCTGCACTTGCCCAAGCGACCTGATCAACATGCCCAGTTGCCTCACAGCCGCACCCACTGCCACAAGCTCTTCAGCTTCGCGCACAGGGGGGTGTTGAACTTTGCTCCATCTCACTTCTAGGACAATATGCGCTCACTGAAGTAGAGGTGCCTCGCCTTTTGGTGCAGTGGTATATTGTTCCTTCATAGTACCGTTCCTGGGACAGGGCAATAGAACCGTCTTCGAGTCGCCTGATCTGGATGCCGAGGATGTACTCTGTCGGGCCGAGGCGCTTGACGCCGTAGCGTTGTTCGAGGCCCGAGATGACACGTTCAATTTCGGCCAAGTCGGGGCTGATCATCTGTCAGGAGCACAGCCTGCACTGTGAGGAATCCACTCTCCGCTCGGCTCAGGACTTAGGCGCGCGAAGCGAGCCTGGGACTTAGGCGCGCGGAGCGAGCCTGGGCCATTGGCTCAGCCCCAGGCTCGCTGGCTGTGGACTTGGGGCGCGCGGGTCTCTTATTGTTAGCTTCCTATTCATCACTCTTGGCTATAACTACATCGCTGACGTAGTAGAGTTGATCGAATAGGTATGTTGAAATGCATTCATCACTCTTGGCTATAACTACATCGCTGACGTAGTAGAGTTGATCGAATAGGTATGTTGAAATGCATTCATCACTCTTGGCTATAACTACATCGCTGACGTAGTAGAGTTGATCGAATAGGTTATAAGCCCACGAGCTACCAGCCCCGCCGCTTGAGGCTTTTTCGCTCGAGCCCAGCCACTCGAGCCGCACACGTCCATCGCACCATCACATCATGGACAGCTCTCCCGCCTCGCCTTTGGCCCCCAGGGATCCCAGCTCCCCTGAATCTTCGATCGGCGAACAAATCGCCACTCTACAGGCCCAGCTTGCCGCTCTGCAGGCCTCGCAACCCGCCGCCGCCGCAGCCGCCGCACCCCCGGCCGTCACCGTCGTGCCGGGGAACGCCGCCACCGCATCCAAGGTCGTGTTTCCCAAGCACGCTCGTCTGGACGGCCCCAAGTCGTTCACCAACTGGTTGCGTCAACTCCGTCTTGCACTCCCGAACCAGGTTCGTGGTTACGTTCTCGACGGTGTCGTTCCCCCGACCTGGACCGCCGACCAGCTTGCCGCACGTGACGACGCCGCCCGGGAAATCATCGTTGGCTCTATCGACTCCGCCGACGTATCGGCCACCCTCGACGCCATCCCCAGCGACGACCTGTCGGCACCGCGCATCTTTGCCGCTCTCAAGGCTCGTTTTGCACCGGACGACGCTACACGCACTCTCGAGTTGTTCGCTCGCCTTTGGGACTTCAGGAAGATGCCTGCCTCCGTCGAGGCCTACGACACTTGGCTACGCGAGTACATGTCGATTGCTCAGGAAATACGCGACGCCAAAACATCGCTCAACGACGTGCTCGCCACCCACGTGCTCGCCATGGTCCCGTCTTGCCTCGACAGCTTCCGACTCACGTTCACGGACGAGCAGCGAAACCGACGCGACCTTCCCGAACTCACGACGCTTACGGACCGCATTCGCATCCAGCTTCGTTCGGCAGGACTCTCGACCTCGCATTCGGCCATGCTTGCCACCAGCTCCCCCTGCCCCGCCTGCCGCGCTCCCGGTCACCGCCTGCGCGACTGCACTTCACGTGCGAAGCACCCGCCCACCGGCCCCTGCCGCCGATGCCACAAGAAAGGTCACTGGGCACTCGACTGCAAGAACCGGGGTGAACAGGCACGTAGCAGCGACGACACCCAGGACGACACGTCTTCCTCCGCGGCCTCGCAACCGAACGTCGGCTATTTCGCCTCCTGCCTCTTCGCTCGTCGCCAACTCCCAACTGACGCCTTTGTAGTCGATTCGGGTGCCACGACACACATGGTCGCCGACCGATCTCTATTCACGACTTATCGTCAGACGGCACACACCAAGATCGGCGGCATCGCGGGCGGCATCACGGCTATCGGCATGGGGGACGTGGCATTCGTCGCCAAGACTGGACACCCGATCACGCTCCGTGGTGTTCTTCACACGCCTGGCCTACACGTCAACCTCCTCTCTGTCTCTCGCCTCTGCGACACCGACCGCGTTCGTCTCGCCTTCACCAGCGACGGCATCGACATCGCCAAGGACGGCCGGGCCATTGCTCACGGTACCAGGGTCAACGACGGTCTTTACCTTTTGGACGCGGATCACACCAAGTGTCAGCATCTGCCTTCCTCTCACGCTCTGAGTCTCCCGTGCCCCTGCTTACCCTACACCGCTGCCTCGGCCATCTGCCCCATCCTCTATACAGAAGATGATTGCTGCAGGTTTGCTGGACGGGTTTGGGGCCGGGTACAGTGACAAAGACGTAGAGGAGTTTGTTTGCAATGCTTGCCTTGGTTCCAAAGGTCACCGCCTTCCCTTTCCCGACTCTGAGTCGCATTCCGCCGAGAGACTTGGCCTCGTGCACAGCGACGTCCTGTCGTTCCCCACTCCGTCCTTGACCGGGAAGCGCTACCTTGTCACGTTTCTAGACGACCACTCTCGCAAACTCTGGGCATATGCGATCGATCACAAAAGCGATGTTTTCCCGACCTTCCAGACTTGGCTCGCCGAAGTGGAGTTAGAGACGAACGCGCGGTTGAGGATCCTTCGAACCGACAATGGCGGGGAGTACCGATCAAACGCATTCACGGAGTTCTGCAAATCCAAGGGCATTCGTCGTCAATACTCTATCCCTTACACGCCTCAACAAAACGGTCGCGCCGAACGTGTCAACCTCTCCATCGTCGAGGGCGTCCTCGCTCTCCTTGCGGACGCCCGTCTGCCGGCCACCTTTTGGGATGAAGCGGCTGCGTATTTCGTTTATTGCAAAAACAGGTGCTCACACTCAGCTTTGGCCAAACAGACTCCAGAATCCGTTTGGAACGGCCAACGCACCACCGCCACCGCCCTCCACCCGTTCGGCTGCACAGCCTGGCTCACGGTCGCCCCGGACCTTCGCAGCAAGCTCGACCCCAAGGCGCGCGCGTGATCTTCACAGGTTACGACCTCGCCTCCAAAGCTTTCCGTTCTTTGACCATTCCATCAACAAGATTGTACTTGGTCGCAATGCCACCTTCCTCGACGACGACTTCCCCGGCCTGCCAGTCACCACGCCCGTCGATGCAGACGACACCGACCGTCAGTTCGTCGTTCCCGCCGACACGCCCGCCCCTGCCGTCAAGACGAGGACCCCACTAGTAAGGTCGGCGCACATGGACGTCTCATCCTCCCTTGATGATTCTGCCATGAGCGCCGTTGACGTGGCCCAGGGTACACTGGCGGAACCTTACTTAATTCCACAGATACCGAATCGTCCTCGTCACCGTCTCCTGAGCCGTCCTCGTCACCGTCGCCCACAAACCCTTTGTCACCGTCGCCTGCGCTGTCACCGTCGTTGCAGCGTCATCGTCACCCTCGGTCTCACCGACCGACTCTGACTACTCCGCCGACCCTCTGGACCTCATCGGCTCACAGACCCCGACTCGCCTTGGCCCACCGGACGTGCACCGCCCAGACTTCAGCACGTACCGTGAGCCCGCATCGGCTGAGGAGTCGCCCGACGAACTCGACATCATTGGGCGTCACTCGCGCGATGAATCGCCGGATGAAATCGATTTCCTCACCCAACACCACCGCGCCTTCATCGCCACAGACGACGACGACCCCACCCTCGACGCCATCGAGCCCGTCAAATCGATCACTAGCGACCCCCAGACCTGGCGCGAAGCAATGTCCAGCGACGAGCACAACATCTGGGCTGAGGCCGCCGCCGCCGAGTTCACCGCCATGCGCGACGACTTCAAGGTGTTCACCATCGAGCCTCGCTCATCTGTACCGCCGGGCGCCACCATCGTCACCTCCAAATTCGTCTGGAAGACCAAGCGCAACGCAAGCGGTGAAGTCACGGGGCGGAAGGCACGTCTTGTAGCGCAGGGTAACCGACAGCGCGACGGCATCGACTTCTCAGAAACCTTCGCACCCGTCGCCCGTTTCTCCTCCATTCGCTGCCTCCTGGCTCTTGCCGCTGCCAATGGCTACCACGTTCATCAGGCCGACATCGACAAGGCTTACCTCCACGGCGAGCTCGATCATGATATCTGGATGACGACACCACGCGGTTTCGACTTCCCGAGCGATAAGGTTCTCCGGCTGCGACGCTCAATCTACGGTCTCAAGCAGGCCAGTCGCATCTGGAATCGTCACATTGACACATCACTCAGGAATCTGGGGTACAAGGCAACAGGCACTGATCACTGCATTTACTCTCGCATTGACGATCAGCAGCGGCCTCACTATATCGCCTTGTATGTCGACGACCTCCTCATTGTCAGTCCAGCCCTCGACGAGATCGAACGTGTCATCTCCGGCCTTGAACAGCGGTACGGCGTCAAACGACTCGGCCCCGCGGAGTACATCCTCGGAATCCAAATACGCCGCCTGGACGACGGTTCCATTGCTCTATCCCAGGAGCGCTACATCATGGACGTGCTGGCCCGTTTCCACTTCGACACCACGACACGCGCACTACGGTGCCGATGACGCCCGGCCTCTCGCTCACGGCAATTCCGGGTCAGGGAACGGAGCGCATTCGTTCGTGGTACCTACAGGCCATCGGCTCCCTCCTCTACATCTCCCTTGGCACTCGACCCGACATTGCCTTCGCCGTCTCGTACCTGTCCCGGTTCGCCAACAACCCCGGCCGCCGCCATTGGATTGCCGTCAAACACGTCCTTCGCTACCTTCGCGCCACGTACCGCGATGAGCTTCTCTATGCCCGCGGCCCAGCAAAAGTCACGGGTGTGGTTGGTTATTCTGATGCGAACTGGGGCGCCTGCGTCGACACATCCATTTCAACGATGGGCTACGTATTTTACTTGGCAGGCGCCGCTGTCTCTTGGTCGTCGAAGCGTCAGACTCGGGTAGCGGATTCCACCACTGATGCCGAGTACCTGGCCTTGTCGCACGCGGGTAAGGAAGCGATCTACCTTAACCAACTCCTCTCCGAGCTCCACGTTTGCCCAATCGCTGCAGCTCACATCTTCACCGACAACGAGGCCGCGGCCGCCGTCGCTCACGACCCCGTTCGCACCTCCGGCACCCGGCACATTCGCCTCCGCGAGCATTTTGTCCGTGACATGGTCAATCGAGGTGATATCTCTCTCTCACACGTTGGCACAGCAGACATGGTTGCGGACGTATTCACCAAAGCGCTAGGCCCCAAGATTTTTGGTACACATTGCTATGCTCTAGGCCTCCGGACGCGACATCCACGGCTCAAGTCTACCTCGCGTTCGCGTGGGGGGGGTGTGAGGAATCCACTCTCCGCTCGGCTCAGGACTTAGGCGCGCGGAGCGAACCGGGCGCGGACTTAGGCGCGCGGAGTGAGCCGGGCGCCCCGGCCCAGGACTTAGGCGCGCGAAGCGAGCCTGGGACTTAGGCGCGCGGAGCGAGCCTGGGCCATTGGCTCAGCCCCAGGCTCGCTGGCTGTGGACTTGGGCGCGCGGGTCTCTTATTGTTAGCTTCCTATTCATCACTCTTGGCTATAACTACATCGCTGACGTAGTAGAGTTGATCGAATAGGTATGTTGAAATGCATTCATCACTCTTGGCTATAACTACATCGCTGACGTAGTAGAGTTGATCGAATATGCACTGCCATCAATACTCGAAGGAAGTCTCCCAAGTTTGCGGCCGGAGTCGACATCAGCTACCGGTTTGTTCGTTGCAAGCATTGTCGGCGCGATGGTGTAGTCGTGAGGGCGCGCGGGCGCGCACTCAGTGGTCGAGGGTTCGATCCGCCCGGAGCGTGATCTGCCTTTTGGTTTCTTTTCCTTTTTGTTATCCGAGGCCCGGCTTCGGGGTTTTTACCGGTGCCTTGCAGGCAATCCTTTTACCCCTGAAGCGACCTCGTGGTGTAGTTATTTGATTCAGTCTTTCCTTCGCTGGGAGCACTTCCCTCCCTTTGCTTTTGCCACCCTTCCCCTAGAGCTTGGTCCACTCATTATCATGACTCGTACCCTCCCTCTTTTTACCCATTTCGCTGGCAATTAAGTCCGTTACACTTGATTTGCTGCGAAGCCTTCCGACCGAATCCACTCCTCGGTTGCTCTCGGTCGACTTCCGCCGCCCAGCCGACTCGACCTTCCCACCGGCCTGGTCAGCTATTTCTTGGATCGTTTGCCCTCCCTCTTCTGTCCGACCTCGTTGGCTACCATAGTTCGGTACACTGGACTTGCTGCGAGCCTTGCAGCCGCGTATCCTCCGCGGTTGCCTCTCGGTCGACTGCCGCCGCCTCGGTCGACACCCCTTTCGCTCCTTCGCGCTTTCGCGCGCTCTCTCGCTCTCTCCCTCGTCTCTCGCGTGTAGTCATCGTCATCCCCTCCGACGTTGCCTGTCATCATCAGGAGGTCGTCGACGTACAGCGCGATGTAGTGTGGGCGTCGCCGATCGTCGATCCGAGAGTACACGCAGTGGTCGGTGCCCGTCGCCGTATAGCCGAGATCTCGAAGCGATGCGTCGATGTGTCGATTCCAGATTCGGCCAGCCTGTTTGAGTCCGTAGATGGAGCGTCGCAGACGAAGCACCTTGTCGGTGGGAAGGTCGAAGCCGCGCGGTGTCGTCATCCAGATGTCATGGTCAAGGTCGCCATGCAGATAGGCTTTGTCGATGTCCGCCTGGTGCACGTGCAAGCCGTTGGCGGCCGCCAGCGCGAGGAGTGAGCGTATCGAGGAGAAGCGTGCGACTGGTGCGAAGGTTTCGTTGAAGTCGATGCCGTCGCGTTGCCGATTTCCCTGCGCCACGAGCCGTGCCTTGTGGCCGGTGACTTCGCCGAGTGCATTCCGTTTCGTTTTCCAGACGAACTTGGATGTGACGATGGTCGCACCCGCTGGTACCGTGGATCGGTCCTCGATGGTGAAGACCTTGAAGTCGTCGCGCATGGAGGTGAACTCGTCGGTGGCGGCTTTGGCCCATACTTCACGCTTGTCGCTAGACATCGCCTCGCGCCAGGTCTGTGGGTCGCTCGTGATGGACTTGACTGGCTGAACTGCCTCTGTGTCAGAGGTGTCGTCGTCGATGGCGATGAAGGCGCGGTGGTGTCGGGTGAGGAAATCGATTTCGTCCGGAGATTCGTCGCGAGAGTGGCGCCCAATGAGGTCGAGTTCGTCGGGCGACTCCTCAGCCGATGCGGGCTCGCGGTACGTGCTGAAGTCTGGGTGGTGCACGTCCTGTAGATCGAGGCGAACCTGGGGCTGTGAGCCGAGGAGGTCAAGGGGATCGGCGGAGTCTTCAGAGTCGGTCGGTAAGGCCGAGGGTGACGATGACGCAGCCGACGATGGTGAAAGTGCAGGCGATGGCGCAGGCGACGGTGATGAGGGCGACGCAGGCGACGGTGACGAGGACGGCACAGGCGACGGTGACGAGGACGATTCGGCATCTGTGAAGTTAAGTAAGGTTCCGCCAGTGTACCCTGGGGCCACGTCAACGGCGCTCATGGCAGAATCATCAAGGGGGGATGAGACGTCCATGTGCGCCGACCTTACTAGTGGGGTCCATGTCTTGACAACGGTTTGAGATTCGGTGGTGGGAGCGCTGGCGAAGTGCGTGTCGCCGTCTTGCTCAGTGGGGTCGCCGTCTTGCTCAGTGGGGTCGCCGTCTTGCTCAGTGGGGTCGCCATGTAATCCGGGGAATTCAGTGTCGAGGAATGTGGCATTTCTGCCAAGTATAATCTTCTGTGTTGTAGTGTCGTAGAAGCGAAAGGCTTTTGAAGCCAGGTCGTAGCCGGTGAAAAGAACGCGAACCGCCTTCGGGTCGAGTTTGGAGCGAAGTTCGGGCGCGACCGTAAGCCAAGCTGTACAGCCGAACGGGTGAAGCGCCGAGGCAGTGGTGTGGTCACCCTGCCAGACGGAGTTTGGTGTTGCCTTGTCCAGGGCCGCGTGTTGACACAGGTTCTTGCAGTAAACGAAATAAGCTGCAGCCTCCTCCCAGAATGTCTTGGGTAGGTGGGCGTCGACAAGGAGGGCAAGGACGCCTTCGACAATGGAACGATTGACCCGCTCTGCACGACCGTTCTGTTGAGGCGTGCGTGGGATAGAGTATTGTCGACGAGTGCCTCGTGCCTTGCAGAACTCTGTGAACGCTCTCGAACAGTATTCGCCACCGTTGTCGGTTCGGAGGACCTTCAGCGTCGCACCCGTCTCGAGTTCAACCTCGGCTAGCCAAGTTTTGAATATGCCGAATGTCAGGCAAACAGCGATACACTGACAGCAACACTCGAAGGAAGTCCCTGAGGTAATGTGCAGGTAGAGTTGAGGTCACCAAATGCTTCCCTCCATTCAAGCATTGTGGGCGTGATGGCGTAGTCGTTCGGCGCGCGGGCGCGCACTTAATGGTCGCGGGTTCAAGGCGCGCAGAGCGCAATCTTCTCTCGGTTTTTGTTCTTTTTGTTAGCTGAGGCGCGGCCTCAGGGTTTTTACCGGTGCTCCCGCGAGCAATCCTTTTTCCCCCTGAGGCGACCTCTTGGAGTAGCTGAATTGGCTAAGTCCCCTCTGCGCCTGAGTGCCTCCCTTTTGTTTTTAGCACCTTCCCACTCAGCCTGGTCCGCTACATCTCCCAAGATCCCTTCACCTTCATCCTTCGTTTTCGATCTCGTTGGCAATAAAGTCCGATATACTTGACTTGCTGCGAGCCTCACAACCGCGTCCCCTCCTCGGTTGTCCCTCGGTCGCCTGCCCCCGCCCAGTCGACCTTCCTTCGGCCTGATCCCCTCCTCCGCGTGTAGTCAACGTCTTCTGAAGAGGACGTTGCCTGCCACTTTTTTCAAGTCCGGCACCGCCAACCTTCGATCTCGCTTGCCCTTGCTCTATCCTGCATCCTGGACGAGCAATCGTCCACTACCCCTGAGTCGTCAGCTTCCTCCCCGTTGCCGAACTCATCCCCCGCTGACGCGTCGTGGTCATTCGCCACCTCATTCACTGAGTCCGACGACGAACGCGTCATCCCTTCGTACCCCTTCTTCCATCCTTCTCGAGCTCGCATCCGTTCTCCCCACAACCGCCAACCGCTACGCCGCGAACTCGCCATGGCCGAACCCACCGACACGTCGCGAGACACCACCGCCCCCGTCCGCGAAGACCCCTCGCGCGCGAATCCGCCTAAGTCCCCGCCGACGCATTCGCCGCACCCGCTCCAGGCCGCCGCCGTCATCACGTCCCTTGAATCCCGCCTCGCAGAATCGGAAGCCCTGCGCCGCGACTCGGAGACACGCATCCGCAAATTGGAGCAGATGGTGGAACGATTGATGAGAGAATCCACCGCACCTGCTGGGGCGCAGGTCGGGGAGGCTCTGCCGGTGAGACCGGTCCCCCTGGACGTCCCCCGCACACATTTTTGGGACGCCCGGGAGCTGCCGCTGACCCCCTTGCTCGTACCCCTGGGGGGGAATCTCACAGCGGAATTAGGGACGGCCCTTCCTCGGCGGTGATTAGCTCTCGTTGGAGAGGGACATTGCCGGACCGGGAAGGGTTATGGACCGGAGATCATCCGGAAAGGTTGGTGATTTTCACTGCGTTTGGGGAGTCGTATCTTTCTCTCTTGTGCGACATCTCCACCTCCGACCTTTTCGACACGAGCCGAGTGATCCAGCTTGTGGCGGACGCTATTTTTTCGTACGACAACCCGACAGCGCCGCCAATCCCCGCTCGATTGGGCCGTCGAGGCGATGAGGGACGCGCTTGGAGAAGGGCGCCCCTCATTGTTGGACGTCGCTCATGAAGGCAGTGGGACGTCGTTGGCCCGACCCCGGGTTCGCCGATAGAGTGGCTCAAGACTTCCACGGATGTCGCCAGTCGTCGTCTCGGGCTTACGACCATGTCGGGGAGTGGCGGGCGCGGTACCGTGCCTTCGTGCACGACAACGATAGTTTCACCCTGTCGCCGCTTCAGCTCGCCACGACCTTCTACCAATCGCTCAGTGACTCCTCCAAGCGGGAAGTGCGGGCGGGAATGTTACGTGAATACCACGACAACTCGCTGGTGACAATTGGGCGATTCGGACTGAAGGTCCCGTCCATCGACGAGATTACCGAGTGGGCCGCTATCGCCGACGACATTTCTCCTCCGCCTTCGGTTCCGACCCCACCAAGCCGCACCGCGACCTATGGCGCGATCGTCAAAGCTCCCCGAGTGAGCCCACCTGCGACCAACACGCCCACCGTCGACGAGAGGTTCCCGATCCGACGAGCTCGATGGGTCGACCGCGCTACTAAGTGGCAGCAATCGCACTTGTGGAAGGACCGCTCCACCTGGTTTTCCCCGGCGCCCAGCGGGGTACCCACCAGCATGGCTTGCTTCAACTGCGGACGAGGCGGTCATTTCTCGCAGCACTGCACCGCGGAGCGTCAATCCCCGGTCGCCGTCCAACTCTCAGCGGTCGCTGTGGCCGACTGGATGACGAAGATTGGTCCTCGGTCGCAGGTGGTGACGAGGATCCCGAGGTGAGAGTCCCCATTTCACTCGAGCGTGTTCAGACTCGACCTTTGAGTTCCGTTTCCGCTTCAATGACGCGCCCTTCTTGCCCTCCCGCAGACCCCGTTGGCCGAATGAAGAAGGGGCTTCTTCTTCAGTCGACGTCGAAGTCTCATCAAGTAATCGCAGCCAAACCGCCCGGCAAGTGATGCATCTACGTCGTCTTGCCGATGACTCGACCGACTCTGCGTTTGACGCGGTGGAAGACGTCCCCTCTTATGCTGATGCCGCGTCGCGAATGCGGCGATACTGGGGGCCGGAGGTGGTGTCGTCGCGCAAAGCGGAGAGGACTGCATCGGTGAGCTCTGTTCGTGTTCCGGTGCCGTTGGGGGTTTCTTCTTGGAGTCCGACACGCCCCTGATCGACGTCGACGACTTCGCCCGACCCGCCGAGCCCGCGATTGTGCGCGCCCGCAATATTATTGCGTGGACGTTGCCGTCTGGGCGAACGCTGCGTTGCCTCGTCGACTCTGGTTCGGAAGTGGACTTGGTGGATCAGGATGTCGTGCGAACAGACCCGAGTTTCACGACGTCCCGCCTTACCGCGCCGCTGCACTTGCGCCTCGGCACTCGCGACAAATCTGACCGCTGCGCCGTGTTTGCCAACGCCCTCTGACAGGCAACGTCGGAGGGAATGACGATGACTACACGCGAGAGACGAGGGAGAGAGCGAGAGAGCGCGCGAAAGCGCGAAGGAGCGAAAGGGGTGTCGACCGAGCGGGGCAGTCGACGAGAGGCAACCGCGGAGGATACGCGCTGCAAGGCTCGCAGCAAGTCCAGTGTACCGAACTATGGTAGCCAACGAGGTCGGACAGAAGAGGAGGGCAAACGATCCAAGAAATAGCTGCCAGCCGGTGGGAAGGTCGAGTCGGCTGGGCGGCGGAAGTCGACCGAGAGGCAACCGCGGAGGATACGCGGCTGCAAGGCTCGCAGCAAGTCCAGTGTACCGGACTATGGTGGCCAACGAGTCGGACAAAAGAGGAAGGGCAAACGATCCAAGAAATAGCTGACCAGGCCGATGGGAAGGTCGAGTCGGCTGGGCGGCGGCAGTCGACCGAGAGCAACCGAGGAGTGGATTCGGTCGGAAGGCTTCGCAGCAAATCAAGTGTTAACGGACTTAATTGCCAGCGAAATGGGTAAAAAGAGGGAGGGTACGATCATGATAATGAGTGGACCAAGCTCTAGGGGAAGGGTGGCAAAAGCAAAGGAGGAAGTGCTCCCAGCGAAGGAAAGACTGAATCAAATAACTACACCACGAGGTCGCTTCAGGGGTAAAAAGGATTGCCTGCAAGGCACCCGGTTAAAACCCCGAAGCCGGGCCTCGGATAACAAAAAGGAAAAGAAACCAAAAGGCAGATCACGCTCCGGGCGGATCGAACCCTCGACACTGAGTGCGCGCCCGCGCGCCCTCACGACTACACCATCGCGCCGACAATGCTTGCAACGAACAAACCGGTAGCTGATGTCGACTCCGGCCGCAAACTTGGGAGACTTCCTTCGAGTATTGATGGCAGTGCAGGCTGTGCCCTGACACTATCCCCCCCAGAAGGAAGTCTACCGTGCGGCGAGGCGTGACGGTGCGAATGAGTTGGCCGGCGGCGACTTAGGCGGTTTCGCGCGGCCGGGTCGGTCGGAGTTGGCCGTGCTCGGCCGGGGTCGGATTGGCGGAAGGGACGGCGGGCCGTCTTCGGCAGCGGCGCAGGACGTGTCGCGCTCGGTGGCCATGGCGATCGCTCAACACGACAGTCGATGATTCCAGGACGAACGAGGCGGGCACGAGGCGACCATGCAATAAGGCGGCGGCCGGTGCGAAACGAGTGTGTGGCAGGCGGACTTGGGCGGGTTCGCGCGGCCGGGTCGCGGTTGCGAAGAGGCGCGGCGCGCTGGCTGCGGCAGCGGCGCCGACGTGTCACACTCGGCGGCCATGGCGATCACTCAACTCACAGTCAACAGCGATTCCAGGGCGAACGAGGGCGGTCACGAGACGGTAAGAAGAGGTGGGGGGTGGGGGTGGGGGAGGTGTGGGGGGGTGGGGGGAGGAACCACGCGGTCGTCAAAGAGGCCGAACTCGAGAGCCGAACGGAGAGGAGGCGGACGACGCGAAGACGAAGGGCGGAGGGCGGGAATGCTCGTCCAGGTTGGACTGAGCGGTGAGAGAAGCTGGGACTGTCGCTAGCAATGCCGAACTTGAAAAAAGTGACAGGCAACGTCGGAGGGGATGACGATGACTACACGCGAGAGACGAGGGAGAGAGCGAGAGAGCGCGCGAAAGCGCGAAGGAGCGAAAGGGTGTCGACCGAGGCGGCGGCAGTCGACCGAGAGGCAACCGCGGAGGATACGCGGCTGCAAGGCTGCAGCAAGTCCAGTGTACCGAACTATGGTAGCCAACGAGGTCGACAGAAGAGGAGGGCAAACGATCAAGAAATAGTGACCAGGCCGGTGGGAAGGTCGAGTCGGCTGGGCGGCGGAAGTCGACGAGAGGCAACCGCGGAGGATACGCGGCTGCAAGGCTCGCAGCAAGTCCAGTGTACGGACTATGGTGGCCAACGAGGTCGGACAAAAGAGGAAGGGCAACGATCCAAGAAATAGCTGACCAGGCCGATGGAAGGTCGAGTCGGCTGGGCGGCGGCAGTCGACCGAGAGCAACCGAGGAGTGGATTCGGTCGGAGGCTTCGCAGCAAATCAAGTGTAACGGACTTAATTGCCACGAAATGGGTAAAAAGAGGGAGGGTACGAGTCATGATAATGAGTGGACCAAGCTCTAGGGGAAGGGTGGCAAAAGCAAAGGGAGGGAAGTGCTCCCAGCGAAGGAAAGACTGAATCAAATAACTACACCACGAGGTCGCTTCAGGGTAAAAAGATTGCCTGCAAGGCACCGGTAAAAACCCCGAAGCCGGGCCTCGGATAACAAAAAGGAAAAAAACCAAAAGGCAGATCACGCTCCGGGCGGATCGAACCCTCGACCACTGAGTGGCGCCCGCGCGCCTCACGACTACACCATCGCGCCGACAATGCTTGCAACGAACAAACCGGTAGCTGATGTCGACTCCGGCCGCAAACTTGGGAGACTTCCTTCGAGTATTGATGGCAGTGCAGGCTGTGCTCCTGACACCCTCTTCACGTCCGGTTCCCTCGACCTCGCTTGCGGGCGTTTCATTTGCCGTGACGCATATGATGCTATCCTGGGTTTGCCGTTTCTGAAGGACACGGCATGCTGGTAGGCTGGGGCGTCTTCACCGTCGCACGGCCGGGCCCTTCGCAGCCGGTCGCCAAGGGCACTCACGAGTGGGATCGCGCAGTCACGGTGCGCCCATCTGCTCCGGCTCTGCATTGGCTACGATCACCCAGGGTTGCTTCCTGACGACGAGATCATTGGCCTCGAGCCGCACAACCCTCTACTGGATGTCGTCGACGACCCGGCGCTCGAGGATTTGTCTGAGTCCGAAGCACGAACACGATTGGCTGCCTTACTCGAGAAATACTCTGATGTGTTCGTAGATTCGCTCCCAATGGACCGACTCCCGCCTTATCGACCCGTCAATCACGAAATCCCTTTGATCGACCCCAACGAGAAGGTCAAGCCGAGGGTCTATCCCCTTGCCGACAATATCGTAGCCAGTGGCGGAGCATTCAGCTAAGTACACTCGCGGTCGCTTCTGGGTTTCTGGTCCGATCGACTCTGCGGCTCCGGTCTTCGCCATTCCGAAAAGAACTCCCAGACCGCTCGCTTTGTGATCGACCTCCGCGCTCGCAACAGCAACACCGCCAAGCGTTTTTCACCTATCCCCGACATGACCAGTGTTCGCTACGAAGTGGCACGTTCGCGCTACCGGTCCAAATTCGACGTGGCCGCAGCGTTTGAGCAGGTGCGGGTCATACCCGAGCACGTCGATCGCACGGCTTCGCCACGGTCACGGGCACGTACACGTCGCGGGTGATGCAGTTTGGGGACACCAATGCGCCCAACACCCTGAACTTGTTGACATCGGCGATGTTTCAGCCGTGCCTCTCGTTTGCCAAGATCTTTTTCGACGATGTTCACGTCCATTCGATACTCGTCGCGCGCACTTAAGACACATCGAGATTTTGCTGATGACACTGCGACATTATCGGTTCTACTTAGGATCCAACAAATCCGAGTGGTCTCAAAGTCGTTAGATTCCTTGGGCGCGATCATCTCCGACGACCGGCATCGAGGTCGACCCGGCCAAGTGGGAGCGTATCCGACAGTGGCCGACTCCACACAACAAGACCGACGTTCAGCGTTTCCTCGGCACCGTGAATTGGATGCGAGATCACCTGCCCCACCTCTCGATCACCTTGGAGCCCATCACCGCATTATTAGCGCAATCGACGTCGTGGCGTTGGAACGAGCGCGAGCAGCAGGCCTTCGACACCGTCAAGTCCTCGTGCCAGCAACACTGCGACCGATCGACGGCGCTAAGGTCACCTCCGGCGAGCACAAAATCTACTTGTTCACCGATGCCAGTCGTGTTGGCATTGGCGCTTGCTGGCCTCGGGCCCCACTCGTTCGCAGGCCATTCCTACGCGATTCTTCTCCGCTAAGTTCAATGGCGCTCAGCTCATTATCACGTCACTGATAAGGAGTTCTTAGCCGTCGTTTCGGCGTGTCGGGCGTATCGAGCAGCACTTGATCGGTTACCCCTTCGTCATCGTCACCGACCACCAAGCCCTTCGCACGATTAAAACGCAGAAGTTACGCCAAACACCCCGGCACATCCGCATGTGTCTCGAACTCAGCCGTTTCGACTTCGAATTCGAATTCATTGCGGGCAAGAACAACTCCCTTGCCGATTCGTTGTCACGCTTGTGGGAAGTCAAGGAGGGATCGCCCGAGGATCAGGTCAAGGAGAATGAGTTGGAGGATATGTTCTTTGATGGAGAACGCCACGGATTCACTACACACGGTGAGAGCCTCCCTGAGGAACGTCCTTACACCTCACCATCTCCCGATCGGTTGCCTCCTGTTGATTTTGCCTTCGGGCCCCAACGCGACGATTGCGAGGCAGGCTCTCCCGGATACTACGCGCTCAAGGACGAATCGCAAGACGAGGACGTGAATGGACGGGATTTAGGGAATTTGTTCTTGAAGGAAGAATGCCACGAGTTCACTACACCTGGTGAGAGCCTCCCTGAGGAACGTCCTTACACCTCACCTTCGCACGATCGGTTGCCCCCTGTTGATTGTGCCTTCGGGCCCTGGGATCACGGCTACGACGCAGGCTCTCCCGGTTCCCATCGTCTGGCCGAGAACATTATGGACGCCGTCGACTCTTCTACCGGTCCCCTTTCTCCTCCCATCGCCGTCAATCGAGTTCATGCTATCGCCGCGGCCCCCGCCAACGACGCGCCCATTCCAGTCGATGCCGACGCCGATGAACTCGACTTACTGGGAGCCGCCGCCGATGAGGTCAACGACGCCCCTGTAGTCCATCGACCGCCCGACCCGCTGCCGCAACCTTTCCTCGACGCCGTCATCCGAGCCTACGCCCACGATTCGCAAGCCCAAGTCATTGTTGACGACCCGCTGTCATGGCCGATGTTTCGGGTGACCGAGGAAGGGAGGATCTTGCGTGTACATCCAGATGAGTCTCTTTCCCTGTTTGTGCCTCGCGGTCTCGCTACCGGCGTTGTCGACTCCGACAAGCTCCCATCGCTGCGCGAGCTCGTGCTTTCGGAGATCCATCGGAGCGTCGGGCACGCGGACATCGCATCACCTTGGCCGCCATACGTCCTTTGTATTGGTGGTCGTCCATGTCTGCCGATTGCGCCAAGTTCTGCCATTCATGCGAAGATTGTGCCCGAGGCAAAGCGTCCACTCAAGTCCCTTATGGCCGACTGCATCCGATGCCGATCCCTTCTGGCCCATGGGAACAAGTGGCCATCGACTTCATGACGGGACTGCCTCCGGTCGAGTTCGAAGGGATGATGGTCGCTCAAATCATGGTGGTCACTGACACTTGGGGCAAGATGGTCCACCTGATTCCCCTCCCAGCCGACGCCGACTCCGAGCTCGTTGCCGACAGGTACTACGCCACCATCTTTCGACTGCATGGGACGCCTTCCGCCATCGTTTCCGACCGTGATCCCAAGTTCACCTCGCAGTTTTGGCGAGCATTGCAGGCGAAGGTCGGCACCGTCTTGCGGATGTCAACAGCGGCGCACCCAGAGACCGACGGATCGAGTGAGAACCGAATCAAGATGGTCACCCAAACCCTGCGCATCATGGTGTCGTCAAACCACGAGGCTTGGGCATCTCGTCTTGTTGAAGCTGAGTTCGCTCTTAACTCTTCCGTTGCTGTTTCCACGTCTCTGTCGGCTTTCGAGGCGACTTACGGTTACCTTCCTCGACGCTGGCCCACCGATTCCTGGTCTGTCTCGGACGTCCCGCGTGCGGAAGCGTTTGCCCGAATCCGACAGTTACGGAATCTCGACGTCACGGATGCGATCATTGGTGCACGCCTCGATCAGACTCACCAGGCCAACAAGCATCGACGCCCGGATGATCCCGCCTTTCGGACCGGCAGTTATGTCTATCTTTCGACCAAGAACCTGGCAGTTCCTGAAGGGATGAAGTCGAAGTTGTTGCCGCGCTACATTGGTCCTTTCCGTATCCGAGCGGCCATTCCAGCGACGTCCAGTTACGACCTCGAGCTTCCCCCAGCAATGTCGCGAGTGCACAGTCGCTTCCATGCTCGACTGCTTCGCCCCTATGTTGAGAACGATGCTGAGAGGTTCCCTGGGCGTGACCCCGCAGTTCTTTTTGTTGAAGATGTAGCCGACGCGGCCGACAACTCCGCCATTCCGGAACGGATTGTTCGCGATCGTCGGAACGCTCGGGGCAATCGTTCGTTCTTGGTTCGATGGATTGGCCGTAAGGACATCGATGACACTTGGATGTCAGAGCAGTCCCTCCGCTTCGACCATCCATCCCTACTCGACGCCTACCTGGCACAACTCGATCGCTCAAATCGCCGCCTGTCCTCCCGGTAGACTTCCTTCTGGGGGGACAATGTCAGGCAAACAGCGATACACTGACAGCAACACTCGAAGGAAGTCCCTGAGGTAATGTGCAGGTAGAGTTGAGGTCACCAAATGCTTCCCTCCATTCAAGCATTGTGGGCGTGATGGCGTAGTCGTTCGGCGCGCGGGCGCGCACTTAATGGTCGCGGGTTCAAGGCGCGCAGAGCGCAATCTTCTCTCGGTTTTTGTTCTTTTTGTTAGCTGAGGCGCGGCCTCAGGGTTTTTACCGGTGCTCCCGCGAGCAATCCTTTTTCCCCCTGAGGCGACCTCTTGGAGTAGCTGAATTGGCTAAGTCCCCTCTGCGCCTGAGTGCCTCCCTTTTGTTTTTAGCACCTTCCCACTCAGCCTGGTCCGCTACATCTCCCAAGATCCCTTCACCTTCATCCTTCGTTTTCGATCTCGTTGGCAATAAAGTCCGATATACTTGACTTGCTGCGAGCCTCACAACCGCGTCCCCTCCTCGGTTGTCCCTCGGTCGCCTGCCCCCGCCCAGTCGACCTTCCTTCGGCCTGATCCCCTCCTCCGCGTGTAGTCAACGTCTTCTGAAGAGGACGTTGCCTGCCACCAAAGACTTCGCTTTTGTGTCCGATTGCGTAGGCCCAGAGTTTGCGCGAGTAATCGTCAAGGAATGTATGAAAGAACAATATACCACTGCACCAAAAGGCGAGGCACCTCTATTTCAGTGAGCGCATATTGTCCTAGAAGTGAGATGGAGCGAAGTTCAACACCCCCCTGTGCGCGAAGCTGAAGAGCTTGTGGCAGTGGGTGCGGCTGTGAGGCAACTGGGCATGTTGATCAGGTCGCTTGGGCAAGTGCAGCTTGGGCACTGTGAGCACTGTCGATGCGCCAGGGTGCTTGGCACGCTGCTGGGCAAGTGCGGGGGCCGGGACGCTGAGTGTATGCGCGCAAAATTGCCTGACCCCAGGGGGGATTGAACTCATGACCTGCTGGTTGCTCTGGGCTCATAACCTATGAAGGAACAATATACCACTGCACCAAAAGGCGAGGCACCTCTACTTCAGTGAGCGCATATTGTCCTAGAAGTGAGATGGAGCGAAGTTCAACACTGCCTCCGTTGCTCATGGACCGGCTCGCGATTTGGGATTGACTCGACGGTGGCTCGCGCTCTTTGGCTTCGGGGTTCTGAGTCAAGGGAGGGATCAGCAGACACAGGCAGAAAGTCGGCTTTGAGGGGCCAGGGACTGCTGAGGTGGAGGTTTTGAGGGGCCTCCACCGCGTCTTGTTGTGACCGAGCATAGACTTGGGGACTTCGCGGGTCAGGGTAGCTGCGCAGTCGCTCTCCTGTCTTTGTCTCGACCGAGTTGGGAAGTGGGTGCGGGGTGGGCCTCTTGTCGTTAGTACGCCAGTTCTTTTTCATTTTCTCTCTTTCTCTTCTCTCTCTCATTCGTCTCCTGGGGGGGAGCAACCGCTTGGCTGGGGCACTTGAATCCGAAGTATCGGATTGGTGGACTTGGCCCGTTTCTCGCATCTTGCGGGCGGTTTGTGTTATCATCGTCGACTTCCATCTAGTTTTTCCGTAGGCCAATCAGGGGGAACAGGAATTGGGGGCAATATGATGAACGGTTTCTACAAAAAAAAAAAAGGGCTTCCTTCGAGTACACGCTGTCATCCTGACACTGTCCCCCCCAGAAGGAAGTCTACCGTGCGGCGAGGCGGCGGTTCGAGCGATCGAGGCGCGCGAGGTAGGCGTCGAGGACGGACGGATGGTCAAGGCGAATGGACTGCTCTGACATCCAAGTATCGTCGGTGTTGTTACGGCCTACCCATCGAACCAAGAACGAACGAGCGCCCCGAGCGTTCCGCCGATCGCGAACAATCCGTTCCGGAATCGCAGAATTGTCGGCTGCGTCGGCTACGTCTTCGACAAAAAGAACTGCGGGGTCACGCCCAGGAAACCTTTCAGCATCATTCTCAACGCAAGGCCGAAGCAGTCGAGCATGGAAACGATTGTGCACTCGCGACATCGCTGGAGGGAGCTCGAGGTCGTAGCTGGACGTCGCAGGGATGGCCGCTCGGATACGGAAGGGGCCGATGTAGCGCGGCAACAACTTCGACTTCATGCCGTCAGGAACTGCCAGGTTCTTTGTCGAAAGATAGACGTAACTGCCGGTCCGAAAGGCGGGGTCGTCTGGGCGTCGATGCTTGTTGGCCTGATGGGACTGGTTGAGGCGTGCTCCAATGATCGCATCTGTCACGTCGAGGTTCCGTAATTGTCGGATCCGAGCAAACGCTTCCGCACGAGGGACGTCCGAGACAGACCAGGAATCCGAGGGCCAGCATCGAGGAAGGTAGCCGTAGGTTGCCTCAAAAGCCGACAGCGACGTGGACACAGCAACAGAAGAGTTAAGAGCGAACTCAGCTTCAACAAGACGAGATGCCCAAGCCTCGTGGTTTGACGAGACCATGATCCGCAGGGTTTGGGTGACCATCTTGATCCGATTCTCGCTCGATCCGTCCGTCTTGGGGTGTGCCGCGGTTGACATTCGCAAGACGGTGCCAATCTTTGCCTGCAATGCCCGCCAAAACTGCGAGGTGAACTTGGGATCACGGTCGGAAACGATGGCGGAAGGCATCCCATGCAGTCGGAAGACGGTGGCGTAGTACTTCTCGGCAACGAGCTCCGAGTCGGCATCGGCTGGGAGGGGAATCAGGTGGACCATCTTGCCCCAAGTGTCAGTGACCACCATGATTTGAGCAACCATCATCCCTTCGAGCTCGACCGGAGGCAGTCCTGTCATGAAGTCGATGGCCACTTGTTCCCAAGGACCAGAAGGGATCGGCATCGGATGCAGTCGGCCATAGGGGACTTGAGTGGACGCCTTGCCTCGGGTACAGTCTTCACATGAACGGCAGAACTCGGCGCAATCGGCAGACATGGACGACCACCAGTACAAAGGACGGATGGCGGCCAAGGTGATGCGATGTCCTGCATGCCCGACACTTCGATGAATCTCCGAAAGCACGAGCTCGCGCAGCGATGGGACCTTGTCGGAGTTGACGACGCCAGTAGCGAGACCACGAGGCACAAACAAGGAAATAGACTCATCTGGATGTACACGCAAAATCCTCCCTTCCTCGGTCACCCGAAACATAGGCCATGATAGCGGGTCGGTAATGATGACCTGGGCTTGCGAATCGTTGGCGTATGCTCGGATGACGGTGTCGAGGAAGGGTTGGGGCAGTGGATCAGGCGGCCGATGGACTACAGGGGTGTCGTTGACATCATCGGTGGCAACTCCCAACAAATCGAGTTCGTCGGCGTCGGCATCGACCGGAATGGGCGGGTCGTTGGTGTGAGGAATCCACTCTCCGCTCGGCTCAGGACTTAGGCGCGCGGAGCGAACCGGGCGCGGACTTAGGCGCGCGGAGCGAGCCTGGGCCATTGGCTCAGCCCCAGGCTCGCTGGCTGTGGACTTGGGGCGCGCGGGTCTCTTATTGTTAGCTTCCTATTCATCACTCTTGGCTATAACTACATCGCTGACGTAGTAGAGTTGATCGAATAGGTTATAAGCCCACGAGCTACCAGCCCCGCCGCTTGAGGCTTTTTCGCTCGAGCCCAGCCACTCGAGCCGCACACGTCCATCGCACCATCACATCATGGACAGCTCTCCCGCCTCGCCTTTGGCCCCCAGGGATCCCAGCTCCCCTGAATCTTCGATCGGCGAACAAATTGCCACTCTACAGGCCCAGCTTGCCGCTCTGCAGGCCTCGCAACCCGCCGCCGCCGCAGCCGCCGCACCCCCGGCCGTCACCGTCGTGCCGGGGAACGCCGCCACCGCATCCAAGGTCGTGTTTCCCAAGCACGCTCGTCTGGACGGCCCCAAGTCGTTCACCAACTGGTTGCGTCAACTCCGTCTTGCACTCCCGAACCAGGTTCGTGGTTACGTTCTCGACGGTGTCGTTCCCCCTGTGAAGAGTCCACTCTCAGCTCGACAGGGGCGCCTCGGTCGTTGCGCGCGCCTGCTAGCCTGGCCCCTGTGGTGGGGACTTAGGCGCGCGCGAGTGCCTCAGCGCGCCGGCGCCGGCGGTTTTCGGGCGCGCGCCGCTAGCCCGCCCTTGCAGTGGGGACTTAGCCGCGCGCGACTGCCTCAGCGCTCCAGCGATTTCGCCCGCGCCTGGGCATATCCCAGCGCGGGCCCCCTTTCCATTTCTTAGCTTCCTTCTCATCACTTCTGTTCGACTCTCGACTTCTCCTGACAGTAGTGGTGATCATCTCATAGGTACGCTGAAATAGATCACTTCTGTTCGACTCTCGACTTCTCCTGACAGTAGTGGTGATCATCTCATAGGTTATAAGCCCATCGAGCTACCGCTGGCATGGACACGTCGTCAACCCTCGCGACGAGCGCCACCCCGACAATTCCCGCCGAACAGCTTGCCGCACTTACATCGCTGCTGTCGGGACTCACCGCTGCCGCTTCCGGCACTACCGCACCCGCCACGACATCCGGCTCCAATCGCAATGCCTTCCCGAAGCATGCGCGGTTGGACGGGCCGAAGACGTTCGCGAACTGGACACGCCAGCTTCGCCTGTGCCTAGCGGACGACATCCGCTCCTACGTCCTCGACGGAATCACCCCCGACGATTGGACGCCTTCGCAACGCTCCGCCCGCGACGTCGTGGCACGCGAGATCCTTGCAAACTCAATCGACTCGGCCGAAGTCTCGGCAGTCCTCGACAAGATCCCTACGGCCGACCTCACAGCGCCCAAGATTTACTCGACGCTGAAATCGCGATACGCCCCTGATGACGCCACTCGCACGCTCGAGCTCTTCTCGCGACTCTGGGGCTTCCGACCCATGCCCGGAACGGTTGGCGAATTTGACAGTTGGATCATGGACTTCAAGTCGGTCGCGCAAGAGATCATCGATACGAAAACGACGATCAACGACGTCCTTGCCACACTCCTCCTCGCGATCGCCCACCCGTCACTCGAGAGCTTCAAGGC